AGCACAAAAGCGTTACATGTAGAAAAGCGGAATAAAGGCTCTGCAGCCTCGGTTGTCAGCGTATCATCCCACAGTGTGTGCGCGGTAACCTGCTGCTGCTTCATATCTCCAACAAGAGTGGATCAAGATCAACCTCACAGCTGTGTGATAGGAAACATCTGCTGAGTCCAGAAGGTCAGCTCAGAAAGTTTATTATCTAGGTCTGTCAGTCTCATTTAAATATATTTCTCTTCTCACTCCTGAGAGCACAGGCCGTTAACAAGACCAACTGGGATAAGATAGGGATAAGATTGCTCCACATTAAATCTGCCCGCCCTCAAAATCAATGTGGTAGACATCATTTTGAGAGGCAAATGTCAGATTTACATACAGGCCTCAAAGGATAAAGACACTTCAACATGCATTCACTGTTTTAAACTGACCTGATATAATTGGTGCTGCATTAGTTAGTCTAAGATTAATGATGCTCTGTATGTTTGTGCACACATAGTAGTGCATTCTCTATAATTAGGCCAAGGAGTCAAACACAGAGCAGACGCTGAAATCAAGCAGCATTCAGCCCAATATTTAGAATCATACATACATGTATGTATGATTCTAAATAAATAAATATAATATAGTGGAACATATGTACGTTTCTGTTTGGATGTACATGTGTTCCACTGTGGCGACTGACGGCTGAGCACCACTTCCTGTATTTAATTCATTTAGCTAACTAACAGCAGCATGACCCAGAGCCCTGCTGCATATCAATACCAGTATGGAACCATGCTGGGCGGCTATAAAGAGGATTAGAGAGAGAAGGAAGGGGGGAATAAGACAAAATAAAACTAGAATGCTTTTTTCTAGTTCTAACATCTGCTGTCAGAATGGACGACGATGGCGGAAGCACAATGCTGCTGTTCACCGTGTCTTCTAAAAGTCTTTCTCTCTAAGTGAGAACAACAGCTTCCTTACTGGGGGATGCATTTTGAAAACAGATGGGTTTGAATGTGTTTCATAAGCCACAGGGTTGCCAAATATGCCCAACATAATGCACTACATAAACTTTCAATTCAGAAGCTCAAAATTAGAGTGACAAGGTATCCATGCGGCGGCAGAGATAAGAGAAGCATGCCCTAACACAAACAAAGCCTGCTCATAATGTCTATAAAGGCAGCGCTCTCGGAGGCCAAAGCGCCTGTAGAGTCACACAGGGAGACGGCTGATAGGGTCCTCTCCCCTCTATCCCTTACTGTTTGACCACTCCAATGAAAATCCAATCTTCTACTTGACCGAAGGGGGAAACATCAGTAGTCGCAGGGGCCAGCTTGGCAAACCAGCAGAGCCTCGTCATCAAAACCCAATTAAAAAAAGCCAGGGCCGGGAGACTCAGCGCTGCACTCATCCCATGCCAAACGTGGTGGCAGATGGGGGGGCTCGGCTGGCTCTGCTGGGAAGGCGACGGCAGCCAACACGCAACCGCAGCTGGTAGAGTATGAGATAACAGGATGCGGGGGAGCGGCATGGAGCGAGGACAGCCCTGCTCTCCCTGCCTCTAACCGGCTGTGTAATGCCAGTACAAACCTGAAAATGAATTGACCCAGGAGTGGGAGTAATAAATTACAACTGCTCACAGTACTGGAGTTACGTCATTAGGGCGAAGCCTCTAATTTTAAAGTATGCATCATGTAATCTACTCTACTACTAAAATCATCATTTGCATAATCATTTGCGACGGTGCAGGCCTACAATTTGAATTAAATCCAAACCTTTAATCTGCATTTTCGCAGCCAATATGCCACACACAAGGGGGAAGTGCCCCAAAGCGCTGCCCGCTTCCTTTTGGTGTCCATTCTAACCAATTTGGCTGCTCAGATGGAGCGCACTGGGGTGTCTTCTATTTTTTCTGCGCGCTGCGAGCAAAGAGGCACGCTGCGGGCCACAATGGAAACCATGAAAAAACGGGCTGGGAGAGGGGACCACACTGACCAGAACAGCACAGGTTAAGTGAAGATTTGGAGAAACAGAGAGCAAATGGAGACGGATTAGACCAGTGGCTGACTTTTTATAGAAATGTACACTAATAAGTAGGTTCAGAAACATTTTCTATATGCTTTTAACAGAAAAGATTCCTGCTTTGTCTCTTCATTTGTCTAGAAAACTAATAAGTTTGATCCATACATACCGTTTAACATTGATCAGACAAATGTAATTTGCTATTGATAATCAAAGGTTAGTTTGTTAGTTTTTAAGGAGAGTACTAGTACTTTTAACACCAGTAGTTTCAGTTGGAGTTGAGGAATATTTCAGTATTCTTTCCAGCACTGCTGTGACCCTCAGAGCTTCACACAAAGAGAATAAAATGCAACACAGTGCTTAACCAAGACTCCCACTACAAAAGTCAGCCTTATTGAACAATGTAATCACCTGGCTGTTCTATCAGACCTGGCTGCAGCAGTAAGTAACTCACCTCAGCAACCTGAAATGCACCAGAGACCAGGGCGGGATTGTAGGTGGCGCTCTCACAACTATTACTTTTTCATTCCTTATCGTGTGTCATTTTTGGAAACAAAAGCAGGGGAATGCTATGCTATTACTTTAACTGTGGCATGCATCAAATCTAGTAAATATAAGCAGATACAATAACAAACAACCGAGCGGGTCCTTGTTTTATTCATGTGGCATATTGTTGAAACGACTGGCGGCTAACAATCAGTATGATGGCAGTCTGGTGTTGTTGGATTAGACTCTGTCATCTGTGCCTATAGAGTCATATTCAGAACTGGGGGGGGGGGCACGTGTGGCCGAGCTCCAGCCAACAAGATTATCAAATGATCCAATAAACTTTGGACGCCACTCACAGACGTGATCACAACGCGCTAAGCTCCACAGATGAAACACATAGCAGAGAGAGAGAGAGAG